GACAATATAGTATATAACGCGATGGCGACAACACAATTACGAAACCTATTAAGTCCTTCTCTATAGTTTGCGCCTGATTAACGGTCGTAATAGCAGAATATTTTTGTGCCAAAACACGTTTCACTCTTAGTACATGAGAATATTTTACTTAAAGTGATGCAATAATAACACTTACCGGAGGTAATAGTCCGATCAGTCCCATTCGATGAGTTTAACGGAGGCACTTTCACCTTAAATTACAATAATACATCTTCGTAATTATAATTGGTATTAAATAAGGCGGAATTCAAGCATTTATGATCAATTTCATAATCAAAATTAATGAACCGTGAAAGTGCAATGCTTTCATTAAAGTGATAAACAAACGATGGTTATTATAAAAACTTTGATAATTATCATTATTAAGAAAAACAATTTCTTAGAAAACACTTTCAGTGTTTATATCTAATTATCTTGATTATACCTGATGATAGACCTAACAAATCTAATTTCAGAACTTCATATAAAAATTATTTATATTATTGAATATTAAAATAAGTTAAATTAAAATTGTATAAACTTCAAAGTTATCCCACGTTGCCGGTAGCTGAGGAGCTACAATATATATTAGTCTGTTATGACTTGACATAATAGCAAATATAATTAATTTCAAAGAAAGATTAATACCACAGAATATCCAGAAAGGACACTAGAGGTATCCCGCAAAACTCTTTGGTTCCCGATCAACGATCTGGCAACGTTGCTCAAGAGAAGCAAAGCGAGGGATGTTTCCAGATCGTTGGGTCAGTGGCATATCTGGTTATTCTGTGTTAATACACCAGATTAATACAAAGTTAGACAACATACATTGTAGTGCCTCGGCCGCAAGCGACCTCGGCTAAGTTACTAACACAGAAAGACCTCGTAATCGTCAAACACAGTGTAGAGGTATGACTTGCAAATGTTGACAAAGACCAGCAGCTATGTGGGGTTTCAAGTTCACGATGTTCATGTTCAGAATGTTCCTTTCTGCAAGTATTAGAGATTTTTTAGCTGACCAATTTTCTGGAACAATGTAACTGTAAATCTGTTGTACATTATCATTAAAAACATACGTATTTGATAGTCACATTACAGGTTTAGAAGTACAATTTTTGTTTAACATCCTCTTCAAAAAAAAACACCAAATTCATGTAGACAATTTTTTTTAAATATTTATAAAAAGGATTAAAGTATATTCATTGTAGTGTAGTTAATTAAAAATTAAATAAAAGATTAAGAGTTATAAGAAATATGAAATAGGTATAACTAAGGTGGTGATTGGATTGCGTGCAATTACTGAACATTAGCAACTATCAAATAACAGTAGTTCATTAATATTACATGGGCAGGGCATACAGATATTGACACATAAAATGGGTCACGCGTGTGATTGCACGAGGGTGGATAGACACGTTACGACAGCCAGACTAATGGGACACAACTAAATCAATTGTCCCGATTAATTACCGTTGACGCCGTCTTGTCCGGTATCGTTATTATTACCACATTACGAACTGTGTATAATATAATCTATGGGCAGCACCAAGGTTTTCACGTTGCGTCATATTGTCGGCATTCCTCGTTCTTTGATACACCATTATCTGTCGTCAGCAGAGCACCGGGGATGATGCTGCAATGGATTCTATTAATTACGTGCCATGGTGGCGTGGCATTCAACCGGCACAAAGCCCAACTCGACAACAACGGATCCGTGATCTATTATTTGTGTTCTAGATTGCTATGACCATGAACCAACACGTTAAACTGTTACCTTCAAACAAACCAAAGCGTGCTCGCGGTCCGAAGAAGACCAATTACCTTCATCATCGCCTCCCGGTTCTTTTGTCTGACTTGGACGTGTGATCTAACGAAATGGGTCACGGTACGATCTAATTGATGAATCGACCGTCATACAAGTAACAGTATTAACGTAATTTATACCCAACAGAGTTTGTGATGTTAGGTTCCAAGAAATCACCCGACCGACGGACGATTATCTAGAGATGATCTTTATACGAGGTGATACCCTACTTTTCACTTTTGTGCAATAGCCGCTTTATTCGCTGATTAAAGCCTGTTTGAGAAACCGGCAGTTCCTCAAGAAAATGTGATGCGTGTGGAAAATTGCTAGTTACGATGTCGGCTCAACTCAAACGAACGGTTTTCTCTGAATTATAGTTTGATGAAGCCTTTGGCCACCGCGCTGATTAATGGCTGTATCATAGATATTCAAAATAGAAGAGATACAAGAAAATAAATTTTGAGATACACATCATTGGTTAAAAGAATAGTGGTGTGTACTGATTGGAAAGTAATAAAGAACCACTTGCGTTTCGCACTTAACTTTCTATTCGATGGGAGGAGCTTCTGCTTCTCAGTTCGCGACATCCAAAAGCAACTTTCATTTTTTCGCCATCTTACAAGCAATTAATTGCTCTCGTCTTAAGTCAATCTGGGCCTCCTAAATTAAACAGGCTCTGATGCAATGCCAACGAACGAGTGCTGCTTCGTTAAAGGATCACAAAGTGTCTATTGGAGAATACCGTTTTTGCGACGTTTTCCGTCCTTTTCTGATACTCGGCATCGTTTCTGAGCATTGGGAATTGCTTCATGTAATTGCCGCCATCCTTGAAAAGACGACGGTTGCAAAATAAAAAAGCGCGCGTTAGGACGAGACGCGAATAATAATTAATAAGAGCCACTTTTCTAATAAATTCTCGGCCAATTAAACCACATTTACTGCAGACGAATGATAAAGTGAGTTCGATTCCATTCGTGTTTTGTTCTCTTTTTCGGGCGGCTACGTGAAATAGTCGCGCTTTAACGAACTCCGTTATAGTTGAAATTGGATTGGGTTTATTGAACCTGACGGATTATTGAATATAATTTGCATACTGTGGGTTTCAGTGTCAAATTTCATTCTGAAAATTATTCATTTCTCACGTCAATCAATTCAGTGAAAACTGAAATATATATATTGTTTTAGTTCGTAATCTTATTCTCACGCCATTCTATTTATACCATAATAAATCGTAGGATAAATTGAATAGAGACGATCTTTGAAGAGAAAAACGGATCGTGTACACTAAGCACTAAGCCTTGTGAAATAAAATGTATATCTACACAACAATCGATAAATCGAGCTGATATATTTTGTGCCGAGCATGCAAATAGTGCACAACAATGCGGCAACTCTACACACACGCGTCTCCCCATCAATAATACTTGGTTGCGTTACACTGCTTATGCTCTCGTTTTAGTTTCCCAATAAATCCTTTCGGTTACGTCACCAATACCTCGAGAACAGGTGCAGCGGGAATACTTACTAAGTTACGCAAAGGTCCCTCAAGAGGTTTATCCGTATTCTAGCAACGGCACTGGCCGTTGCTTCGCTAAACAAACGATCCAGTTCTTTCTTATACGAGAAGATCGCAACTCAACCGAACGGGGCAGTAACACGAGCATTTTCTCGCCGTCTGTCCTTCTAAAGTCAGCTCGTTCCTTCTAGGCACTTGTACAGTGCGCGCGATCATTAGGAGGAAACTTGAAAAAAAATGAGGCAAAAACAACACCGGAATGGAAGAAAAACTAAACGGCTGACGTCTCGGATAATTACTACCATGCAAATAGTGATTTACACACGACGCTTTCTCAAAGAAAATTTCCTTGGAGTCTAATTAAATTTTATTTTATTTAAAACAAAAAAAAATCATACATTAACCCGTAACCCCTCAATCTCTTTAACCCAGAAGAAAAAATGCATTAACGATACATCTACGGTACCAAGATCACGATCTCTTAACGAGACGTCTTGATAGTTTTTTAATCATAACCTCTTAATTTTACGTTCGACGACCGTTGCGTGCTCCATTATACACACACGTTCGTTGTAGAAATTTAGGTCGAGCAGAAGACACATTGATTAACCGTTTATAGAGTCTACCATCTTGATGATCTAACGACCATCAAAACGGCACAAAAAAGCAGCTGCGGGGGTAATTAAGGTGCGTACGTGAACATTTTTGTAACCGGAGATAATACACGTAAAAACACTGTTAACACAACCTCAACGAACACAACAGGATGTGTAATTATCTCTATCTAAATAATAATTAAATAACTATGCCAATCATTTATAATCGAGGTATCGTTAACCTCTCAGAAATGAAAAAAACTATTAGGATTTTGAAATTAATCAACTCAAAATTAAGAATTTGATATTTTTCAGAAAAACGATTGGTACTTTATGATATAAACGTTAAAGTCAATGTCGAGATTGAACGCTAATAAAGTTGAAAAATAATTACTTATAAAATAGACGAATTAAAGTTATTGCCAATAAACTCCATCAAACTGCCAACGCGCGTCCAATAGTTAAAGACAAAAATTAAACGCGAAAGTTCGAAGATAGAGCAAGTACTGCATGAAATATTTCGTTTGGTTGAACGCGTAACCGCAAGTAATCACCGAATTTTTAGAATAGAACGTAAATACTTAAATACTTGGGCTTTCACATTCTTCAATGATTACTTCATCTAACACTTTGTCTTTTTCTTTAATAGTACCATCTTCGGAATTGGAATGATTTACGTTTAAAATAAATTAAACTCAAAATAGTTAAAGGTGTTGGATTGTCTTACATCCTTTACCTTTAAGAAACATAGAAAGTTAGTCAGCATAGCCAACAGTAAAAAAGTAGTAGATGCAATTTTTTATTAAAACACTAAATTTCCAGTATTTGAAGCTTCATTGAAAGGCATAAAATGTTTTTGTTGTGCAAATTATTCTGACCATAAAGTTTCCAAGTTGATACGAAACGTTTAGATAGAAAATGAAGTCATTTGGGATCATTTTTGATTAAACCAATTGATATTGATATTGTGCACAATATATAATAAACCAATAAATAAGAAACTTCACAAAACCCAACCGAAACCTCAATGTTCATAATTTTTAAATAGCTTATTTTTTCTTTTCAGATTTGGTCAAGATAAACAGTAAAAAGCAATCAGTATTAGAACGTCCACTTGGAGGAAAATGCACAGAGACTCGTTGGAAATAACAACCCGATTAGATCAATAATGGATATTCAAGAGACGTTTCGATCTGAAGATATCAAGACGGATTTTTTTGATTTCGTGGTGACTTCAGAAGGGGATACTCAATTTACAAAACAAATGCGTACCGTCAATACATTTCTGGCGAACGGCACCACCGATGAACCAAAAGAAACGAATAACAATATGTTAACAACGGCGGAAATGAGCGCTGTAACGACTTCCGTGGCCAACGAGGCGAGCAATTTCGACTCTACGTTCTGGGGAGACAAGGAAACTGTTAGGATAGAAACCGCTATTTTGGAAGATTTAAATAAGTACTGTTGGACGACGGACCAGGATGGCGTGGGGGTTCCGGTTTCAAAGAGTGGTACTAATACCGACGGACATATTTACACCTTAACAGTATTGAATGGTATGGACCAAAACGCTACGTGGTACCGACCGCCTTTGGCAACCATAATTAAAGAAGAGGACGGGACGATTTCGAATACGTCGATGGATCACATCCAAACGACCGGTTTGGATATTGATTCCATTTTGAGTATAATGCCCGGACAGATTAACGGATTCAATAATAATTTTAATGAGTCTACGATTAGTCCGAATACGGACGGGTTAATCAAATCCGAACCGTACTCTTACGAAGATAGTGGTTACGCCGATAATAAGGACGAATTGGCAAATTCTTTGATAATAGACACTCCGCTTTTAGAGGCGCACGATAGTTTTAACAATAATAATAACGATTGGAAAATAAATAATAATAATTCGACGACATCGACGACGGCCAACGGAGGAACACCGGATTCGTTATTAAGGAGTGCTTTGCAAGGGAAAGCTTTCGTGAGATATAACGGCATGAAAACGAAAACGGAAAACAATAGTGAGTTACGAAGGGTGTTGTCAACGCCGCCGAATAAAACCGAAACCGTTTTTATTAAAGAAGAACCCGATAAGATCCCAACGATTGTAGCTGGAATTGATATAAACGGAACTGTAATTTTCGAAGAACAAATATCACAAAGACACACCGATTCGGATAACCCATCGAGTACGCATAGTATGGACGATATTCTTTTATCGCAATTAGATAATCCTTATCCGGAGGATTATGAAAAATTGAAAAGGATAGCGAATGAAGTTGCAGAATCTGTAAATCAATTTTGTCCTTTAGATGGTACGGGAGAACCAATATACACGATTACGCCAGATCAGATTAACATTTTAAGTAATATCAATTCCCCAATTTCAATTACCGCTGCTCCTGTGGTGACTAGCACGAAAACCACAACGAAGAAATACAAACGATCCAATAGCAACGCGAAACAGTCTTCTGTTCAAAATGCAACCTCGACAAGTAACGGTGTTAGAAAGGAACGTAGCTTACACTATTGCAGTATTTGTTCGAAGGGTTTTAAAGATAAGTACTCGGTAAACGTCCACATCCGCACTCATACGGGCGAAAAACCTTTCTCGTGCGGTTTGTGCGGTAAGAGTTTTAGACAGAAAGCTCATCTGGCCAAACACTATCAAACCCACATTGCTCAGAAAAATGCAGCTACCGCTGGAAGCGTACCGACAGCGAAAACAAAAAGCAGGTAGCTCTTAAACTAAAAATACAACGACGTTGGCTGTTATGCTTATATGTATTAGATTTTTAACAATAATTAGGATTTTCTCACAAAAATTTTTAAAAGAATAAATCGTGAAACTAACATGATAAGCGCGCTCTGTACCATTTGTTTTTTTTTTTTTGAGAATGAGGAATTATTGCAATTGGAATTATTTCGTTATTTTTGTGAAACTCAATTTCCTTTTGTATTTCGATATTTTTTGTATTTTAATTTTTTTGTATTCCGATTTTTTTTTTGTATTTCGTTTTTGTTCCTAAGCTTAATTTGTATTTTCGTGTGTATATTTTGCTGTGATGTGAAAATTTCTAACTTTGAGAAAGAAAAAGAAAAATCATACGAAAAGAGAGTGAAATGTAAGTGAAGATTCTTGCCATTTCTGTATTATTTATACGTATAATAATAAGAGTACCGGATGATTGTTTAAACGTTACGTTTAATTAGATTATAAAAATTATTGACGTTAAAGCATTAAAATTCCAACTTATCTTTTCCCAATTAGAAGAAGAAACCGTTTGATTTCTCCACGTTAAAAGAGAAACTTAATTATTTATGAGTAACAGCAAAAACTTTGTAATACAGAATGTGATACATTGTAGACAAGAGTAGAGATATTTTAAGAAAGTAGACAAAAAAATTTCTTATTAAATAATCATCCTGTACCTAATAATCAATACATTCCTTTACTTTTACGAAAGCTAGATATTTACGTATTTAATTCCTTGCGTATTAATTAAAAAAAGAAATTGTAGATTTCGTTTAATTTATTATTTATAAAACCTTAAATCTTTTTTGTTTGCCTTTTATGTTTTTCGTTTATTTAGAACTATTTACGTTGTTAAAAAAGTGTATTATCAATGTTAGGCAAAACAGGGTAAATTTTTTTCGAATCAATACTAACTAATAAAATAAATTCATCCACACATTTATCTGTCATAAGATTGGCTGATTGTTCTTTGTTTGTTTCTTTAATGTCTCGTACTGTTAAGTTTTAATTAGTTTTTTTTTCTTTTTTTGTATATTCCTAACGAACTATAGTATTACATCAATTAGCCAATCTTAATTATCGTACATACGTTTAAATCGTTTCTTATTTTATTTTTTTTTTATTAGTTTTTAGCTTTTCTTAGTCTATTACACTTTTTTTTTTCGTTTTTTTTTGTTAGGTGTTAGTCAGACAAAAGTTTACCATACAATAAGGCATTACAATGACCTTACATTTACCTACATAATACTCACAATGTGTAAAAAGTATTTAATAATTAATAATAACGTAAAATCGAATAGTTTTATTGTTATTATTGTGTATATTTAATTTATTTAAGCTATAAGGAGGCGCGAAAACGATCAAAACATGTGTTAAATTAAAAGAAAATATTTTATTACCACCAACTCTCAGATTGTTGTTTATTGTGTATTATTTTTATAAAGTTTATCTACGTTACGATTATATTACTATAATTTGTTGGACCGTTCATTTTGTTTTTTATGTTCTATTTTCTCATTTACTGCATACCGTTCCAACAGTCGCATTATTTTTCGACTGAAAATCAATATTCTGTCCCAAACAGCTAGTTACTTGCCACGGTTATGGGTTACATCCATATGTTTTTCTTCAATACCTGGATCTCAATATCTTGAGTAACACAGCTTGCCTGTAACACGCCACAAAACGAACGAACTACTACTGCCAATTGAATAAGTGTGTTCTAATTACTATACACTACAAAGACACAAAATAAACATAAAACGATACAGAACCGTTGTTGTTAAATCGCTATAAATGTTAACAACGTTGACGAAAACGCGAAGAAACGTCATTTTGTAATTGTACTATTTTTTTAATTATTACTTTTAACGAACAACGAGCCATAGATGTAGTTCTATATATGTTTTTGTATAGTTTTATAAAATTTTATAAAGTTCTCTTTATTATTTGTAATATTGATTTTATTAAACGGAAAGTATTTTATATATAGTTTCTATATTATTACATTTTATAATTTTTATAATATATAATTCTCAACTCATTACAATAAACAATTTTTGTAAAAATTTCTTCTTTGTTTTATTTTATGTTTTCAATGAAACAAATGCCATCCAGACACGACCTCACTCACTTCAATTTCACACTAGCGCCATCTCCTGTTCGCTAGCTGTTTCAAATAATAATATTTAAATCAATACAAACATACCATATTATTGGCAATAATAACAATTCTAATAGTTATTAATATTTGTGAAATATTGTTTATAGAGTGTATGGGAGTTGTATGGATTTAATGCAAAAAAGTAAATAATAAAATTGCCCGCCATCTATTGCCCGGTGATCGTTTTTATTGGACTCACAGTCCGTCGAATGTGACTGTGTAAGCACGTGTACTAGAATGTTGAAAACCTTACCTACAAATTCAAAGTTACAAAAATTACAAATATTACAAATAAAGTCATTTTGGTTACAAATTAAAAATTCTCCCTCCAGTTTAAAAATAAGTAATAGTCCCAGTTGTGCTGCCATCTTTTAATCAGGTCGTTGACTTCTAAAATGAGGTTATAATTCCAATCATTGGGTATAATTATAGTTTGGTAAAAGATCTCAAAGATTTCTAAAACATGAAGATGTGGATAATGTGCATATTAATATAAACTAGAAATCTGCATTGATTGAGTTTTAGAATCCTTTTGTATTCAGATAATAATTTTTTTTAATCCTTTCAGTTTTTGTTCAAAAGATGGCGCAATGAAACTTCTTGAATGTAGAAAAACATATTATTCATCTGTTAATTTGTGTTATTATGTCGCCATCTATTGGAATAAAGCTACACTTTTAGTAGGCAACTTATAAAATATAACACTAGAGGTCTTATTTAAAATAAACTTTCTAAAATAAATAATTTTTAATAGTATAAATTTTGATTATAAAAAACTTATATTATTTTTCAAAGATATTTACTTATCAATCTGATTTCAATTTAATTTTTTTTTAAATTTTTTCTCAACATTTTAACCTAATCTAACGTTAAATATTCCCTGCATTTTAGTGTTATTGGTTTAATATTTCAAGCAACATTCGGGTTTTATCAGTAATTGTGCCACGTTCTGCTGCACATTTTCCAGAACAAAGGGCCATTAATGCGCTTCCTACACGGAGATATTCGGCAGTCACCTGGTTACTGGGGTCGTGAGGGTCCGGGTTTCCAAAATGCCTGGATGCAGCAAAGCAACCTTTGGGAGCTCGCTCTCTCTGCGTTTCGGGAGCACTGAACATCGATCTCCCGGCCGTAACCCTGGCAACCGCATCGAGGTATTAGTTTAAGACGTTACTTACATAATAGTATAACTTCCTTTTCTTTTTAACTTTCCTTTTTTTCCAGCATTAAATTTTTTTTTAACATTACCAATAAATTTCATCTTAATTAATTTTCTTTTAGTTTTTTGATGTTTTTTGTACATTAATAAATAATTGCTTTTCTTAATTTAATGAGGAAATGAAAAGATTGATGGATAGTCACATGTGCGTATTAAATTCTTTGTTATACTCAACGCTTTGTGCGGATAAATTTAACGCTCTCGCTACATATTGCGTAATGCCTCTTGTTTTGATTGGGAACAGTTCAATTGAAATCCAAAATTGAACGATCAATGCGGAGTCTGTTAATTGCAAATATCTGCTCTTCGGCGCTTACTAAAGTTACGCTTTTAATTAAAATATCAATTAATGCATTGGTTTCGCTTGAAATTAATCGTTAAAATTTCACAATTTAATTATAAAATAATGTTCCTTTAAAATCCAAAGCGATTAAATTTAGTATTTGACGCTTGAAATTGAAACAATAATTTTAAAAGAAAATTCCCGTTAGATTTTTGGCAACATTCTCGACACCCTAGAGCCATAAAACTTCATCTCGGGAACAGTTCGACCTTGATTTACTGTCACCCCCTGTGGCGATCACCCTCTCAGTCCAGGAATTGATCCTTTTGGAGGTCATCCACTCGTCTATCCTACGGGACGTCGTCTCGCTTGCTCTTCCCGTTTCTACATTGCATGAATTTTAATTAGGGCCTCCGAGCGACGTAATCAAACAAGAAGAAGAGGAGGGTGCACTTGCGGACAAAGTAAACCGGCTGGAGATCTTAAAACTGCGATAAAAGGCCCTCTTTTGCACCCCCGCCCGTGGACGTTTACGCGCCCTGCGAACCAATTACCGCCTCGGTTAATGAAATAACGTAACGGACGAAGACGGAGAACGTGCTCAGAATGGTGGCGGCGAACTTGGTTCTTAAGCCGCCCCTGACCCTTAAAAGCGTCAAGCCCTTAAACAAAGAACGTACTGTGGCAGCAAACGTTCGACCCCTTCACTACCGTGAAAATGGGTGTGTTTACGAGGTTTATAGTTGGTACGCCACTGATATCAAACATAACGTAGTTTACATTAAATATCAAACTGTTTTATTACAATTTCATTTTTTGGGACTCAAAAAAATCTGAAATCCTAGTAATAAACGCAAAAGTCATCTGTCTTCATCAGACGCTTTTCTGTTTGAATCGATTTTTGCGTTTTCTCTCCACCGAGTCCCTTTTTCCTTGACGACATCCTATGGGAGATGGGGAAAGAGGGCATAAGCGGCATAAGATCGCTACGGTTCTCTATTAAAACACATGTTACTTCTCCCGAAGGATTGCCTGGACCGGACTCTACAGTAAATATTTTTAGAACACGTGAGATGGATAAGAATTTCACTAGGGATGGTCCCTTTTCCTTTACTGAAAAATATAACCAACGTTTTTTTTTTTAATTTTATTTAGTGTCTCGGTGTAATGCCTATTATCTCCTTTTACGGTCATATTCTACATCACGTCGTCCGAGTAAACTTTACAACTTGCTCGTTATTTTACGCTTTAGCGGTTCTCGACGTTCTCAAAGTTACTGGAAACTTACTAACAAGTACACAGAACGTAAATTTTGTATTTGCAATGTATTTTTTTTTTGATTTTTTAATTAAAAGGAGAAAACTAAAAGGATGTAAGGAAAGATTGAAATATGAGGAAAAACCCAGAAAATTAGAGATACAAAAGAAATAAAGTGGAGTGAGTGCATAAATGTAAAGTAAAAACGCAGACATAAACCGTGAACTATAAAGATAGTTTAAGCCAGAAGAAAGAAGCTGAGAGCACGCCAAAACGTAGAAAATGCTATAATTTGGAAGTTGCCAAAATAATCAGAATGTAAGAATAAATCCACAAAAATAAACAATGAAAGAATCGTAATCAAGGAAACTGAAAAGATTGAAGAATCCAATTACGATAAGAAGCAAAGCTAAGATGCTAGAACGGGAGAATCTGGAATTAAGCGCCAAATGGTATCTTCTGCACGAAAAATGAGAAAGAAGCCAAAATCTTATAGAAAACAGAAAATGGAGCTAGAATGAAACCAAAAAGAAGGAATTTAGAAACAAACCAGGACTTTGAAAATTCAAGAAAAGATTAAGAATAACCCAGAACTAGGAAGATACCCGATAAGAGTTCAATTTTTTCACTTTGACACTCCCTTGGATCATCATACTGCTTCCTTTTCTGAATTAATATGTTGTAAATCTTAGTAAGGATGTTCCATTTCAGTGCGTGTGTAGACAAAAAAGCACTATTCACGAATTTCTCGTTTCCAAGTGCAGTTCTTTTGAGTTATCTTGACAAACAATTAACAATGTTATGTTGTCTATCGGAAATGTAATTTTGCGTAGAAGTAAATCGGTTGATAACGTCTAGTTGGAATGTTTCTTGTTCACTGATCTGCGTATGTATATCGCGATTAAATGTCCGGTTTAATTTTGATTATTCCAACTGCTCATGGTGATTGCAACATACGTATTTAAAATAAAATTTAACGACGATTATTAGCAACTATTTAATTAAAACGTTGTCTATAAATTTTCATCACTATTAAGTAGTTCTTTTTTGTTTCTAAGTTTTAAGATGTTGTATCACTTTTTATTCAATTTCTCCAGAGAGACATTCCAGTCCGCTCCAGAAAAGTTTTCCAATTTTCTCCCTTTAATTTCCGTCTGCTATTTCGAGTTTTTCTTTTTTCTCTAATCGAAATGTAAAACTTATTTTATAAGAATTTAAACCAGTTGATTTTAATCTTTTAGTAAGTATCTTGCGATAAATTTGAATTTGGCGATTCTTTTTTAGATGCGATTAGAATCTATTGTTATTAAAGGCTTTGCTGTAAATAGACTTTCACAAACACCTTGAATCAACCAAAAAAAAAAAACCATTCTATTACGATTCAATTGTGGAGAAATCCAATTGTTTAAGGAACATCCAATTACTACTCCGGATTAAGAGCACTTTAATTCCTTTTGTTCCACACCTAAACTTTTTTTGTTTCCTTTATCCATTTGTACTTACGTAAACTCTTTTCAATCCTTTTTTATTATTTTTTAATTCTGATCCTGAAGTGTTTGTGTGGATATAAAGATGAAATTTTCTTAAAAAAAAAGATTTTTTTTTGATAATTCTAAATTTAAGCATTAGGTAGAGTGCGTATCAAAATATTTTTAAATTAAGACGAAGAAGGCCTTGTGCGGCTCGACGCCCGGCTTTAGGCCAATTAATAAAAACGACGCGCGGTGCGGCGTCGCGACGAATCCGCCGACGCCGATTGGCCAACGGGGGCGTGAACGCCGACCCGGACGTGGGCGGCACACAGTCTCGCAGCAGCTGGTCGTCATGGCGACGGGTCAGAGCAGATATTGATCTGCGTGATGTTGGGAATCCCCCTACGGCGTCTCTTCTCCTCTCAGCCCCGCGCCCTCGTTTCCCCTCCGGCGTCCCGACGTTCTCACCCTCTCGCTCCCGAAAGCTCCAGACAAGAACAGGAGCAACGTATACACACACGTACTAAACCGAAAAGGTGAAGGGCGGTGAGGGGGGCCCGA